AAATAAATATTTTTTGAATAATCTTTATATTTCTAGTTGAGCACGTAAGAAGATATAATATATTTGAAATCCAAGTAAAACGGTGACAATATTATAGATTTATATTTTTATTGATTTTTCTTTGTAATTTATATATATAAATTAGTATAACTTAAATTTGTTATATATATAACATAAAATTAACTTAAATTAATATATTCTAGTTTTAATTTTTGTCTTATTTTACTTTTTTTTGTTTGTTTCTTTTGTTTATTTTATTTTTGTTTGTTTTATTTTCTTGTTTTTCTATTATTTTCTCTTTATTTATCTTTGTTTTATCTTTATTTATTTTCAATTATTATTATATTATCATTGTTTTTTATAATATATTTCTACTTAAATTTATAGTGTATATTTAGTTTTAGTATTATTTTATTATTACTTAAACATATTCAATATTTATTTCATATTTATATTCTTATTAACTTGTTATTATCAATCATTCACTATTGTTAATTATATTTTTTTTATTTAAAATCTGTTATAAATACAGTTACTGTTAATCATTTCTAAATATTTTCATATATAAGAACTAGAAATAATAACAGATTTTTGATGCTCTCTCTGTGGATAATTTTTTAAAAAAAATCTAAATATTACATTCAAACTGAATAAATATAATATTTATATTGAAGTCAATTATTAATTTAATTTTCTCAAAAATACATTAATATCCAAAAAAATATAGTGCAAATAATTTAATTACATTAAATAATTAAGTCACTGCTGAAATTTGTATTAGTATATATATATAAAATAATATAATTCTATTAGTTAGAATATAAAAAGCCAATTATCCTAATCAAAATTATATTATCTGATATTTTTATTAGATATAATTTTTAACATGTTTTTTTGCTTTGTTAAGCTAGTTAAAACAAATCACAATTTAATTAGTTAATATTATTCAAATTTAATACTGAAATGAAATAAATATATTAGACTAACTTGTAAAATTATTAAAAAATATTAGAAACAAGCAAAAAGTTTTGAGCTATTAAATGCTAAATTTGATGAGTATAATAAATATTTTAGTACTTTTGAATAGAAAGTAAGAAAAAATAATAAAATTATAAATTAATTACAAGTATTGTAACCAAATATGTTAGTTAAAAATGCAAAAAAGTTAGATATATGAACTAAAAATTTACAAAAATCAATATATAAGAGAGTTGTATAATCAATATTATACAATAAGAGAATATATTAACAAAAGATAGCTTCAGATTCTAAAAAGATTACTAATATATTCTAATAAGAAAAGTTGTTGAACTCAATATAAAGAATTATAATCTTATATTTGATAATATATATAATAGTAATAATAATAATAATAATAATGAATTTATATTAGAATCTTTTAATTTATTATTAAAAAAAAGTAATAATTTGTAACTTCAAATAATAAGTTAATTTCTCTATTTAATTTAGAATTAGAGATTCACCAAGATGAATATAAATAAATTTCTTGTTCAAAGCTTGAACAAAAATTCATAATATATATAATTTATTTGCTCTTAAATAAATTAGTAACTAAATAATAATATAATTATTACATTTAAATATGACTGTTATGCAAAAATCAAATCTTTCTTTCTTTATGAAGATCTCAAATTACAAGTTATTTAATATTTGTATATACACAAATTCATGTTAAAAATTACTGAATTTGTAAAATTTATTAAGGATAAAACTGTCTCTGTTCTTAAAATAGAAGAAAAGATAACAATCTTGTATATAACTATATATAAATAATTGTATGTGCTCAACTAGAAATATAAAGATTATTCAAAAAATATTTATTTTGATAGTTATGAATACGAAAATATAATAGTGAATAAATATCAATTTTTATAGTAATGAACAAAATTACAAAGACAAATAGCTACTTATGGGAGCAAAAATTTAGATCAGATTATTTTATCTATACTTTTTCCTAAGATCATTTCCATTATTCATAATGAGTCAATCTTTTATATCAATAATAGTATTATCAAAACATGAAATCTGAAAAATAAAATTCAACTTTTTCACAAGTTATAGGATCTTAGTATTCATATAAGTAACTTTGTTTATAAATCTGTTAAATGTCTGTAAAATGTCAAAAGAAAAGAGAAAAATCTGATGATAGTATTAAAATCATTCTAGAAGAAGAATGAATTTAGTTATCTTCTATAAATAAGAAAATAAGTATGTAGACTTTAAAATAGTACCTCTACCAATTATTTAAAGTGTTAGAAGTATTCACCATGTCTAGGTATACCAAAAAAGTATTAAAATTTGTAATAAGAAATATATTTGGAATAATTGTTAATAATTGAGAAACAAATTCTAAAATATTTTGTATTGTCATCAGTCTGTGATCTTTACTGATGAAAATATTCATGAGATAGGTGATAATAACTGTATTCATACAAAAGTATATAATATAAATCTTTCTAAAATACAAGTTCCAATGTCAAGTGACAAAAATTGTATTTATAATTTTCACAAGTGGAACTTTATAATGAATATAAATAATAATTTAATATGTAATAAATTATTATAACAAAGAAGACAAGAAATTCAATAAGAATAAGATAATTAGAATAATTAGCAGTCTGATCTATTCTTTATTATTGTCAAGACCAAAAGATAAATTACAAGATGTCTGATTTTCTATATTAGATTACATTTATTTAAATATATATTAAAATAATACAGATCTACAAGATTTGTAACAATGCAAAAAATCAATAAAATAATAAAGTTATAATATGTATAACACCAAAAAATAATAAATATAATACAAATTAATCTAAGTATTACAAATAAAATTAGTGAAACATTGATGTTACATTAAATAAATTAAATGAATTAATAATTAAAATGGCAATTTTTTTTGTACATCAGATTGTGTACATCAAAATTCTGATTGGCTAATTTCTATCACATAATCTATTCACTCAATATGTTCGTTCAACATCAACACATAAATTCTGATTGGTTAATGATCGACTGATAAGTATATACTATCACTATATAATATGTCTTTAAATTTCTGCTATTACTATTTCTTATCACTACTAATGATACAAGCAATTTTTTTGCTACTAACAGAACGTGATTACTTACATGTACTTGTCACTATAATAGAAACTGATATTCCAGAAACTGGACACGTTCTCTCTACATTTGCTGAAGCCCGTTTACCTGTCACTATAATAGAAACTGACATTCCAAAAACTGAACGCGTTTTTCCTGCATTTGCTGAAGTCCGTTTACCTGTCACTATAATGGAAACTGACATTCCAGAAACTGAACATGTTTTTTCTGCGTTTGCTGAAACCCGCTTACCTGTCACTATAATGGAAACTGACATTCCAGAAATTGGACGCGTTTTCCTTATGTTTGCTGAAATCCACACAGTTATTAAAAGATATGCTGCAAAAACTAATGCTGTTTTAATTTTAGGAAAGACATCCAAAAATCCTGATGGTAGTGACTATAGGCAGGCGTTCTTTGTCTGTGAAAAACAAGAGAAGTATGGTGAAAAAAATGAGAAACATATCATCAAGCGAACTGGGTGTCCTTTTTCTGTAGGAGTAAATTATTGCAAAAAAGCCCAAGAATTCGTAATAACAAAGTCATATTTAGAGCATAATCATGATCTTTGTCTAAATGTCACGAAATTCAGCACTGTCATGCACAAATTTGATCAAAATGATCTTGGTCTAATCGAAAAGCTTCACAATAATGATCTTCAGACTAAGAATATATTTTCAGTGCTAAATTCTGTTAGCTCGAAGTATATTCACAAGCCTGATGTCTATAATGCTGTGAGCCATTAGCGTCAGCACAAATTATAAGATTTGAATGAAATTGAGATACTGTTTAAAACTTTACAAAATGATAAAAATATTGTAGACAATATAGCGACAAAAACTGCACATAATGACGAACGTGATCAAGATGGGACATTCATTCAAGCAATCTTCTGGGCATATCATAGTGCAATTTCTGAGTTTTCAATAGCAAAAGATGTTCTGCTAATTAATGCGACATATAAGATAAACAGATTTTTGATGCCTTTAATTGTCATTTGTAGCATTGATCATTTCGGATCAACATATCCACTAGCCTTTACACTTGTTTACTTGGAGACCTATGATTTTTATTATTGGGTAATGCAACAATTAAGTCAAGTGTTTATTAAATTAATAGGTGATGCACAGGTGACAACTTTTATAACTGATCGAGAATTGGCTCTTATAGCAGCAATTTCTTCAGTATTCTCTCATGCAAGACATTAGTTATGCATCTGGCATATTTTTAAAAACATTCAGAACAAGTTCAAGAAAGTTGTTGAAATAGATAAATTTATTCAGGCTACTCAAAGGCTCATGTATGATGATCTTTAAGTAAATCAGATCGATCAAGAGATAGTGGGATTGTGAGAATGATTTCCAAATGCAAAAACATATATGCTCGAAACATGGATGCAGCATAAAGAAAGTTGGCTTGCACCATATACGAATGGTAATATAAATCTTGACATAAAGTCAAGTCAGCATGTTGAAAGTCTTCATAGTAAGTTAAAGGGTGTTGAAAATCGTATTATTCCAGTCGACAGAATGCTATCGATCCTTTGGCGACAACTACAAGAGCACTCCCAAAAACTTGCGTATGAAACATTTTTGCATCAAAATAGAAATACACAGGATAGTACAGATGTGAGTCTGGAAGAACTACATTTAATATGCTCACAATTTGCATTCGAATCATTTGTGAAGCAACAGGGTGATCTTGCAAAGTCAGCTAAGTATGAGGTGCTTGAATATGAAGAGAGTATATACAACATAACACAAATTAGCAATCAGAAAAAATCAACGTATGTGGTAAATCTTGGAGCTTCAAGCACCTGCACATGTTTATATCCATGACGTACTAGAACTTCATGTAGACATATTATCGTAGTATATTTACAGTATTTGCGTATCCATGTGTCACCAAATGAGATTCATGAGCGTTGGTATGTACAACATGTCATAGAAGCAGAGCATATCACAAATCAGGTCCCTTTACTTGTCACACAGATTTTCAGGCAGTTACCAAAATGTCATCATGATAACTTCTTAGATTTGATGAAACATACTTCAGAATATGTTCTTGAGACTGGTAAAGTGTCGAAACTGTTACAAAGTGAGTCAAATATTGCGCAGCAAAAGGTTTTGAAAATGATTAGCATTGATAATACAACAAATAGTGACAATATTAAGATGCCCAAAGGAAAATGTACATGTGGTCACCCTTCTAATAACAGACGTATCCATGGTACAGAAGAGAAAGAAAATAAAGTATCTTTAAAAAAGTGAAAAACAGATAATGATATGATGCTGCACTTGGCTGGCATAAAGCCTGATCCACGTATTTCTCAAAATTTGATATTGCAGACATATAATTCAATTGGGGATGGTAATTGTAATTTTTGATCACTAGCCATGGTTATCTTTAAGGATGAAGAACGTTGGCAAGATGTCAAAAATAAGATGAGATTTTATTTAATCAAATAAACAGATTTTCATAACAATGTGCTTGGATATGACATTAATCGATTAATGGCTATTTTGTTGTATATGGTATCTGAATATCCACAGGAATATTGATTTTATGTGTCAGAATGTGCACAGCTAGCATCAGACACTTTCAACATTCCAATAATAGTATTTGGTGCAGATTCTAATGCAAGTTTGTCTTTCTTACCATTTGATCAAAAGCCTGATCTTTGCAAAAGATCTATTATCCTACAATGACATGAATATAATCACATCATGCTAGTCAAACTCAAGCCAAATAAGTTTGCACAAATGCCACCTTTAAATCTGCAATATATACTGGTCTGTAATAGGTTGGGTCTTTCTAATGGTTGGCTTACTTTCTTTGCTATTTTATCAACGCAAACATATCATATAAATTAGTCACACATTAACATCTTTAAAATTATTATCAAACAGGTTTACTAGAAATTCTCAATATTATTTTAACGCATAACGATTTTATTCTCTATTGAGATTGTTTCTGGTTTGTATTTACTAATAAACTTTACGATTATATAAGTTAGTTTTAGTTTGATATATAGTATAATAATTTGTAATTTTTAATAGTAAAAAAGTCATTAAACAAAATTCAGCAATAATAAATTTGTAAGCTTGCTAATTTATGCTCACAAGTATTTATAAATTTAAAAACATAGAGTTAGCGAGGTATTAAATAATATAAAATCACCTTCCCAGCATTTTTATTAGCATCTTATTATCCGTATTCTTTCATTTCAGATTTGCATGCCGGGATTGATCGAATTTTACACATTCTCATTGGTTTATATTACCTGACATTTTGTTAATAATTAATCAGAAATCACATATATACTTATCAGTCAATCATCAATCAATCAGAATTTATGTGTTGATGTAGAACAAATATATTAAGTGAATAGATCATGTGATAGAAATTAGCCAATTAGAATTTTGATGTACACAATTTGATGTACAAAAAAAATTGCTGATAACTTTAATTATAACTGCTCTATATATTTATTATTAAAATATTAGAACTCAAATATAATTCAAATTCAAAATAAAAGTTTAATTCAAGTACAATTCAATTTCAAATCTAACTTGAATTTTGTTTGAGCCAGGATTGAATTCAGTATAACATGATACTAAATGCATGTATATTATCTGATCAACAAAGAATAACAAAGAACTAAGAAGTCGAATAATTACTTTCAAGGTAAAAATAA